CCCCCCCCCGATGTGTAAATGTTACGCTTCTTTGTTGCCAGTTCTTTATAAGGACATGAGTTTTGAAGGGAATATGGAGCCCTGGTGTTTTTGTTAGTGCGGGAGTTTGCAATTAATGTCAGCTTCAGCAGCTCCGCTCTGCTGCTGAGGATGGGAGTCCTGGCTTCCTGTTTTTGGAGGCGTGTCATGTGCCGGCTTTGTCACGCGCACTTTACCTTTTTTGGTACAAAGGTTTCCCGAGCCCCCTCCCCCTGTCCTCGCCTCCACAGCTGTCCGCCACATTCTGTCACTCCTTCAGAGTGCCGCACGTTTCTCCCAGCCTCTTAACTCGCACTTCCGCTCCCCTTGATTCTCAGACACACTTCCTGGGCAGGATTACGCGGCTCTATGTCCGACCACTGCTGCTAGTCCTTTTGATGCTTGTGGGAATCTCCGCAACATGTGGCCTGTGTAATGCCTGACCCTTCCAACAGGTGGCACCCCTGTGGTTCTGTAATGTGCTGGTGCACCTCACCTTGCTTCCTGTCCTTCGCAGTAAGGTTGGGTCTCTGAATAGAGCATTTGAACACGGGGAGAATGAAGTTAGTCACTTCATGCAAACAGATTATCGGTTCTTTGTACTTTGTCTTGTCATGATGCCGGTTGTTATGGAAACCACGTTAATAAAATGTTTTGGTTTCTCTCCCTCTCTCTCTCCTCCCGTTTCCGACAAGGCTGTTAAACAATTCATCTTTCTTTTGGGTATTAATCGTTGGTCTCTGCAGGGCTTGACCCATCGTAGATCTCTGTCAGTTGAGAAATTGCTTCTGGTTAGTGTGTTTCACAAGGGTGTGCTGAAGGACAGTCAAATATTACTCATCCTTCAGGAATAATTTTATAGGTTTATGGCCCTTAAAAAGTGACCTGCACGGTTCCCCCCCCCCCCCCCGGGTCGTGATTGGTATCTGTGAAATCAGTCCCTCATAATGACTAAGAGTTTGCACTAGCTGCTTATTGTACATTCTCCCTGAGGCTCCGCAACTAATCAGCTCGGCCGCGACTCGCTAATGGTTATCCGCTAAAAGTTGCAGTCCGTGCTCCATGAGCGCGTGCCTTAGCCACCGTTCCGCTATCTGTGGGCTCCCCTGTGGTCCTCACAGGCCTGTGTGTTTCTCTCAGCAGGACACACTGAAGCCAGCCTTCACAGTAGCCAACTTGCCAGGGACGTCCAGCGCGCAGGCCACGGTGCCGACCACGTCCACGACCATGCAGATCAGCAGCGGCCCGTCCTTCCCCATCACCAACTACCTGGCGCCCGTGTCTGCCAGCAGCAGCGTCAACAGCATCACCAGCGCCAACGGCACCGTGCTCAAGACTTCGGCGGCCTCAGCCGGCGTTATGCAGCTGCCCAGCGGCTTCACCTTCATGCCCGGTAGGTGCTGGGGTCGCCATGGAGACTCTTCCTGCTTCTGTAGATGTATTCCACAATTATCTAGTGCCAGATTGTGTTTTGATGTCCGTTTTGTTTCAAGGCTGCCACTTCGCACAGAAAGACGGCCATCGCAGCCAGTTTTCTCTTTGCTTCCTGTGTAATTTTACGTTAAATGCTGTTCAGGACAGCGTCGCCTGTCAAGTTCTACAAAAGCAGTGGCCAGGGTGGGAGCTGTGCTCCACCATCAGAAATCTTTCTCCTGTTAGTTGTCTTTGTAGGGGAGGAATAATCAGGCAGGCCTACACAATGGGTGCTGTGGCGAGCCCTGCCAAGCAGGGCTTATAATTAGTAATGAATATTAAATGAAGGCTCTCGGGCTCGTGGCAAAATGATCATTTAAGCAGTGCTTCATGGGCTTCCAGCTCGGGGAGGGACAGGAAACACGCCGTGGTGCTTCCTCTGACATCCGAAGTCACTAAGGGGGATGTGCACCCCCCCCCCCCCACCAAGGAACTAGAATGCTTAGCTGAGCAAAAGTAACCTGCCCCATCAGGAGAGGCCAACGCAGTGCCCTCCTGCCTGCCTGCTCACCTTCTCAACATCCATGTTATACAGAGATGCTTTTTCATCTCGCTGATCCTAAGGAATTACTGTTAGAGTTCGGGAGGGGTGACCTGTGCCCGGGAGGGGTGACCTGTGCCCGGGAGGGGTGACCTGCGCCCGGGAGGGGTGACCTGCGCCCGGGAGGGGTGACCTGCACCCCTGTGTCCAGCATCTTACATTCCAGCCCCTTGAGTGTCCGATGTCATTTACTCAGGTTTGCTTTTTCAGTGGCATATTTTTGCCTCCCCTCCCAGTCCTATAATTGTCCTTACCCCCCCCCCCCCCCCCCCCCCCCCCCCCCCCCCCCCC